AGGAGGAGGAGGAGTAGGAAGATGGTCCTCCAACCTTGAGCATCAATGCAGTGAGTACATCAATACACAATGCATAATGCACTTATCAATGCACAATACTAGCCTCTTATAAAGCTAATGTACCACTATATATATACTAATGTTAGTGGCAACACTATATGTGGACCCCTACCCTCATCTGTCTCGCTTGCTCTCTCGCTCTCTCTCTCTCTCTCTCTCTCTCTCTCTTCTTCTCGCTCTCGCTCTCGGCTTCTCTCTTCTCTCTCTCTCTCTCTCTTCTCTCTCTCTGTTCTCTCTCTGTGTGTGTGTGTGTCGCGCGTGTGTGTGTGTGTGCGTGACGTGCGTGGCGTAGCGTGCGTGTGCGCGTGTGTGTGTGTATGTGTGTGTTGTGTGCGCGCGCGTGTGTGTGTGTCTGCGTGTGCGTGTGTGGTGTCTGTCCCTTTCACTTTGTCTGTCTCGTCTTCTCTCTCTCTCTCTCTGCTCGCTCTCTCTGTGTTCCTCTCTTTCTTTTACAGCTCCGCTCCATCTCGCGCCATTCTGTCACTTTCTCTCTTTTTCCCGTGTTCTCTCTCTCCCTCTCTCGTGATGTCTCTGTTTCGCTATCTCCCGCTCCCCTATACCTCTTCCTATCTCTTTGCGATCTCTACCGCTCACGGTAAACACTCGCTTTGTGAACTTGTGCAGCTAATAAAACAATAATGTTATTTAAAAAAATTTATAAATGCTAATATTATTTTATTAACTTGTGCAGCTGACCAATCAGAATGCGACATGGACGTTAATAACGGTGACGTGTTAACGGATCAAAGGTCAGATGATGCACATGAGAGACTGGAACTGCATCTTCTACATGGGAACGCCCGTGTAAGCTGATAACTATATATATATATATATATATATGTTTATATATATAACAGTAATGTAATACGCTTCGGCAATCCATCAATATTACAATTACTTATTAACCGATATTCAATACTTAACACGTACTCGCTAGTATTTTCTTATTTATCTTTAGCAGCAGTAAGCAGTAAGCGAAGTCAGTATACCAGCAGTAAGTTAAAGATGTAGTAGCAGTAGTAAAGGGCAGTAGCAGCAGCAGAGTAGCAGTACAGTAGTAGGGCAGCAAACGAGCAACAGGCAGGCAGCAGCAGTAAGCAGTTAACAGTAGCAGCAGCAGCAGGCAGTAGCAGCAGCAGCAGTAGTAGCAGAGGCAGCAGCAGCAGCAGCAGCAGTAAGCAGGTCAGCAGCAGCAGTTAGCAGCAGCAGTACAGCAGCAGCATTTAAAAATAAGAAGAAAGGAAAAAAAAAAAGAAAAAAAGAGTAGCAGCATCAGCAGCAGCAGCAGCAGCAGTAGCAGCAGCAGCAGCCAAGTAGCAGCAGGCAAGTAGCAGGCAGCAGCAGTAGCAGTCAGACAGCAGCAGTAGCAGCAGCAGCAAGCAGTAGCAGCAGCAGAGTCCGCAGTGAGGCAGCAGCAAGTAGCAGGCAGCAGCAGCAGCAGTAGTAGCAGGTGATAAGACGCGTCTACGTTGTTGTTATTGTATTGTTATTGTTATTGTTATTGTTATTGTTATTGTTATTGTTATTGTTGTTGTGTTGTTGTTAAGTATGCGAGGACGTGGAGGCGTGACTGAGGATCGGTCTCTACATAAGCACTGAGGCATGCACGACCTCCAGCCGTGCCGCTGCGTGGTGCTAGCAGGAACCCAGCAGTCACCCGAGCTGAAGATAGCCTTAGATCGGGTACGTGTACGCATGCGCACGGTAGGAGGAGTGGCTCCCCCCCCCCGCCGCACGCTCTCGCTCTTCACCTCCTGGCTTCGTGTTAACATGCTCTAGTCTGTTTTGTCCCCTTCCTCGTTGTCACTTACTGTCCCAATAACGTTTCCTCAATATACGCATACCGCCGCATGTGGTCCCCTTCCATAGTCTATATATAGCTATATACACACACACCACACACACACACACACACACACCATCACACCGGGACACACACACACACACACAAACACACCACACACACGACACACACACACAACACACCCACCATATATATATGTGCTATGGCTATATATATATAGTAAATAATTAATTAATTAATAATATATCCATAATATATATATATATATATATATATATATATATATATATAGTATATATATATATATATATATATACAATTGGACGCTTGCGTTAGAATACGAAATGCACTCCTCCGTTTGTGATTGCCAATACAATTAACATGGTGCATCTACGATGCACTCACATACATCAGTCCACTACCTACATGTAATCTTGACTAAGCCTCGCCTAAGATCTCCCCTCCTGCCTCCCTCCTCCTCCTCCTCCCCCTCCTCCTCCTCGTCCTACCCTCTTCCTCCTCCCCTCCTCCCCCCTCTTCTCCTCTTCCTCCTCCCCTTCTCCTCCTCCTCCTCTCCTCTTCTGCTCGCCTCCTCTCCCCCTCCTCCCCTCCTCCTCCCTTCCTCCTCCTCCTCCTGCTCCTCCGCCCTCAATGGTTTGCTTGCGTTCCAGGAGCAGCAGAAGAGCAGGAAACTGGAGGTTAGCATGAAGAATCTCGATAGAGAGATGAAGAGATCTGATGAGTTGCTGTATCAGATGATACCTAAGCCGGTCGCAGACAGGCTGCGCTCGGGAGAAGCTGCTATCAACACGTGTGAGGTGAGAGCGGGACATCTGATGAACGCTAACTAGTGAGGTGATGTGAGGAGAGATGGAGGAGAGGAGGAGGAGGAGGGGAAGAGAGGAGGGGGAGGAGGAGGAGGGAGGAAGAGGAGCGAGGGGGAGAGGAGGAAGGAGAGTACGGAGGAGGGGGAGGAGGAAAGCAAGGAGGAAGAGGTGGAAGGATGATGAGGAGAATAAGAATAAGAAGAAGGAGGAGGAGGGGAAGAAGGAGAAGGCGGAGGAGGAGGAGGAAGAGAAGGAGGAGGAGTAGGGGAAGAAGGAGAAGGCGGAGGAGGAGGAGGATGAGGAGGAGGAGGAGGGGAAGAAGGAGAAGGAGGAGGCGGAGGGGAAGAAGGAGAAAGAGGCGGAAGAGCAAGAGGAGGAAGAAAAATGAAGAGGTTGAGGAAGATGATGACTATGATGATGCTAATGATGATAAATTTAATGACGCTTCTGACGATGGCGGTGATGATGACAATGCGGTGATGATGACGATGCGTGATGATGACGATGGCGGTGATGATGACGATGGCGGGGTGATGATGACGATGGCGGTGATGCTGACGATGGCGGCTGCTGTGTTCACGCTACAGGTGTTCGCGAACGTGACAGTCATGTTCAGTGACGTGGTCGGGTTCGCGGAGATATGTCAGAACATCACACCGATGGGCGTAGTCGATCTGCTCAACCACATGTACACGCGCTTCGACGAGTTGATAGAGCTTCACCGCGTCTACAAGGTAACGTACACACGAACACCACATACACACACACCACAACACCCACACACACACGCACACACATACACACACATACATACACACACGCACACACACACAGCACACACACATACATACACACACACACACACACATACACACACACACACACACACACACACACACACACACACACACACACATACATACACACCCGCACACAGACATACACGCACACACACGCACACACACGCACACACGCACGCACACACACGTACACACATACATACGCATACGCACACGCACACGCGCACGCATACACACACAAGCACACACACACACACACACACACACACACACGCGCGCGCGCACATACACACACACACACGCACAAACACACATACATACCCGCGCACAGACATACACGCACGTACACACACGCACACACACACACACGCACACACACGCACACACGCACGCACACACACGTACACACATACATACGCATACGCACACGCACACGCGCACGCACACA